ACATCAATGACGACATCTGAGTTGGAGTCAATCTTCTTACCTTGTCTCTTAAGGCCCTTGTCAGCGTCATCTATGGCCTTGTTCAATCAAACCCAATACTCCATAACAGCCTCTCCGGGTACAGGTTTAGTATTGTAAAAATCAGCTAAAGGCATGCATGAGTAGCCCAATTCGCTGAAATTCGATCTCTGGCTTCTCTTTAGGATCAACAGTTGTCCCATTGCGTACATTTATCTTTACCATGTTTCTTGCTTTGCCAGATAATCAACTAATCCCATCCGATTGTTCCCCAACAGGACATCCCTTCCTCAAGTATATTCTCATCAACTCCTCCCATTCATGAATGGAGCATTTGTCTGTACCATCTCCTCTATATGTAGGAGGTTCCTTCACATCTGATTGCATGTTGAACTTCATTTTACTGAGGTCTACATATCCTGCTGACTCGGAGTGATGATCACTTATCGTCTCTGTACTTACTGGTGGCTCATGAGTGGACCTACCACTCTGCATTTCCTCCTTAATGGAGCCCCCTACTTCCCGGGCTAGCTGAGTCACCAGCTCAGCTAAACCATCTACAGGGGCATTTTGATTAACACTAGATGAAGGGCTTTCATCAGTATTTTTAGTGGAGCAAAACATGGGGGAACCTACACGCTTTACATGGGTTTGATCAGGGTATGAGAAAAACCTCCCCCTCCCAGCAGTGCATTTGTGTTCATCATCACCATTATAAGATGCCATGTCACTAAACCACTAATGTTATGTTAACATTTCTGTTGGTGAACACACTTCTATGTTAGTTAACCATAAACAGCACTTTCAATACATCGTTTTCAGAAAAGAAAATAGATTGCAGTTCCGCTTTTTGCCACAAGGCAGCAGGAGTACCTCAATGATGTAAACAGTCTCTAGAGCAGCAGTGCCGCGGTGATTGAGCTGACGTCGATCAACGATGAATCCGGGTCTAGAAGGCCCCAATGTAACCGGCGCTGTACTGCCCCGCTGTATCTCTGCGTTGTGTGTGATTGATTGGGACTATAGACGTGGACTTCGGAGATCAGGCTGTTTTAATGAATCAGAATTCTCTCTCTGCATCCAAAAGAAAAGACAAAACCTTTTGTAGAGCACAAATATGTTCTGCCAATAGTCACCTCTCTCTCTCCTCTCTCATCAAAATTATTTTACTATACAAAAATGAGTACAGCCTCTCCTTATAATGTATCAACACATAACATACATTTAACATAGATAAAACCACATACCTGCATCCAAAAGAAAATCCAAAACCTTTGTAGAGCACAAATATGTTCTGCCAATAGTCACCTCTTTCTACAACAGACGCACAATACAAAGGACTGGGATCAGTGGAGGAGCTAGCCATCGTTCACATATACAATACCTTAGCTAGCTAGTAACCACATGTTGAACTGAACTGGGATCAGTGGAGGAGCCTAGCCATCGTTCACACATACAATACCTTAGCTAGCTAGTAACCACATGTTGAATTCAGAATGTTCATATCATCCTAACAAGTACAATTACAATAGCATCTTGACAATACCATCCACTTATGAGTAAACTCTAAATATACAACATTATGTGTCATGACTTTGTGCTTAAAGGAATCGTACTTTTCTGAAGACGACAGACAAAGCGTGCCTACCTCTCCTTAGCACGCAGGGCTAAACGTAAGTACACACTCCCCTATTCCCCAGGATGCAGCCTGATAACAAATCAACATGCTATATTAATATATGAACCTGGTGGAATTCACAAAGTATTTTAACACCAGCTCTGCACCCTCCGCTGCAACCTGCCATGTCCCCCCCCCCCCCCCCCCCCCCGCTTCTCCTTCACCCAAATTCAGACAGCTGATGTTCTGAAAGAGCTGCTAAATCTGGACCCCTACAAATCAGCTGGGCAAAACAATCTGGACCTTTTCTTTCTAAAATTAGCCGCCGAAATTGTCGCAACCCCTATTACTAGCCTTTTCAACCTCTCTTTCGTTATCGTCTGAGATCCCCAGAGATTAGACACTCTAGATCCAAACTGTTACAGACCTATATCCATCCTGCACTGCCTTTCGAAAGTATTTGAAAGCCTAGTTAACAAACAGATCACCGACCATTTCGAATCCCACCGTACCTTCTCCGCTATGCAATCTGGTTTCCGAGCTGGTCATGGGTGCACCTCAGCCACGCTCAAGGTCCTAAACGATATAATAACCGCGATCGATAAAAGACAGTACTCTGCAGCCGTCTTCATCGACCTGGCCAAGGCTTTTGACTCTGTCAATCACCGCATTCTTATTGGCAGACTAAATAGCCTTGGTTTCTCAAATGACTGCCTCGCCTGGTTCACCAACTACTTCTCAGATAGAGTTCAATGTGTCAAATCGGAGGGCCTGTTGTCTGGACCTCTGGCAGTCTATATGGGGGTGCCACAGGGTTAAATTCTCGGGCCGACTCTTTTCTCTGTGTATATTAATGATGTCGCTCTTGCTGCTGGTGACTCTCAGATCCACCTCTATGCAGATGACACCATTTTGTATACATCTGGCCCTTCATTGGACAATGTGTTAACAAACCTCCAAACGAGCTTCAATGCCATACAACACTCCTTCCGTAGCCTCCAACTGCTCTTAAACGCTAGTAAAACTAAACGCATGCTCTTCAATCGAACGCTGCTTGCACCCGCCCGCCCGCCCGACTAGAATCACTACTCTCGACGGGTCTGACTTAGAATATGTGGACAACTACAAATACCTAGGTGTCTGGTTAGACTGTAAACTCTCCTTCCAGACTCACATTAAGCATCTCCAATCCAAAGTTAAATCTAGAATTGGCTTCCTATTTCGCAATAAAGCCTCCTTCACTCATGCTGCTAAACATGCCCTCGTAAAACGGACTATCCTACAGATCCTTGACTTCGGCGATGTCGCTGTAGCTCAGTTGGTAGAGCGTGGCGCTTGCAACGCCAGGGTTGTGGGTTCGTTTCCCACGGGGGGCCAGTTGGTAGAGCATGGTGCTTGCAACGCCAGGGTTGTGGGTTCGTTTCCCACGGGGGGCCAGTTGGTAGAGCATGGTGCTTGCAACGCCAGGGTTGTGGGTTCGTTTCCCACGGGGGGCCAGTTGGTAGAGCGTGGCGCTTGCAACGCCAGGGTTGTGGGTTCGTTTCCCACGGGGGGCCAGTTGGTAGAGCGTGGCGTTTGCAACGCCAGGGTTGTGGGTTCGTTTCCCACGGGGGGCCAGTTGGTAGAGCGTGGCGCTTGCAACGCCAGAGTTGTGGGTTCGTTTCCCACGGGGGGCCAGTTGGTAGAGCGTGGCGCTTGCAACGCCAGGGTTGTGGGTTCGTTTCCCACGGGGGGCCAGTTGGTAGAGCGTGGCGCTTGCAACGCCAGGGTTGTGGGTTCGTTTCCCACGGGGGGCCAGTTGGTAGAGCGTGGCGCTTGCAACGCCAGGGTTGTGGGTTCGTTTCCCACGGGGGGCCAGTTGGTAGAGCGTGGCGCTTGCAACGCCAGGGTTGTGGGTTCGTTTCCCACGGGGGGCCAGTATGAAAAATTTATGCACTCACTAACTGTAAGTCGCTCTGGATAAGAGCGTCTGCTAAATGACTAAAATCTAAATTTAAATTTACAAAATAGCTTCCAACACTCTACTCAGCAAATTGGATGTAGTCTATCACAGTGCCATCCGTTTTGTCACCAAAGCCCCTTACACTACCCACCACTGTGACCTGTATGCTCTCGTTGGCTGGCCCTCACTACATATTCGTCATCAAGCCCACTGGCTCCAGGCCATCTATAAATCACTTCTAGGCAAATCCCCGCCTTATCTTAGATCATTGGTCACCATAGCAACACCCACCCGTAGTATGCGTTCCAGCAGGTATATCTCACTGGTCATCCCCAAAGCCAACACCTCCTTTGGCCGCCATTCCTTCCAGTTCTCTGCTGCAAATGACTGGAATGAACTGCAAAAATCTCTGAAGCTGGAGACTCTTATCTCCCTCACTAACTTTAAGCATCAGTTGTCAGAGCAGCTTACCGATCACTGCACCTGTACACAGCCCATCTGTAATTAGCCCACCCAACTACCTCATCCCCATATTGTTATTTATTTTGCTCATTTGCACCCCAGTATCTCTATTTGCACATCTATCATTCCAGTATTAATACTAAATTGTAATTATTTTGCACTATGGCCTATTTATTGCCTTACCTCCATAATTTACTACATTTGCACACACTGTTTATATATTTTCTGTTTGTATTTTTGACTTTATGTTTTCTTTACCCCATATGTAACTCTGTGTTGTTGTTTTCACACTGCTTTGCTTTATCTTGGCCAGGTCGCAGTTGTAAATGAGAACTTGTTCTCAACTGGCTTACCTGGTTAAATAAAGGTGAAATAAAATTAAAACTAGCACATGTTAGCTAGGTAGGTAAATTAGGCTAACCAGCTATCTAAATCTAGCACATGTTAGCTAGGTATGTAAGTTAGCTGGTTAGCCTATCTAAATCTTGTATTTATCATGGCCAGATTATGTGCCCAGGGGCCTCGACCCCCAGGGAGACCCCATTTGAATTTATTGAGTCACCCAGGTATCATAGGAACACACAAGACATGGCAATACAATTTTATTTGATTTGACATGGCAAAATGTGTGGAATTGCAGGAAATTAGCTTTAATACTTCAAAATGTTCTCTCGGCCCATGGAAAAATGTGTAGAATTGCAGGAAATTAGCTTTAAAAGGGGAAAATGTCCTTTCCGCCAACAAGAGCGGTATGAAAAGTTTGAACAGTTTGGGGTCGGCATGGGCTGTGCGGTGGGTTTTTTGTTGATAAATGACAATATCCATCCAGACCTTTTACCACACAGGACATTTGTGTGACTGAACCTATTTGAGTACCCCTGCACTACCTGATAGATGTGTTTGTGTAATTTAGAAAATGTATAATGACGATAAAGTGAATGTTTCTCCCCTCTCCTCAGCCCCTCTAACGGCGGTGGGGACTGTCCCGGGGTGAATTATGAGTTCCAGCTATGTAACACCGAGGACTGCCCCAAACACTTTGAGGACTTCAGGGCCCAGCAGTGCCAGCTACGCAACTCCCACTTTGAGTTCCAGAACACCAAACACCACTGGCTGCCCTATGAGCACCCTGACTGTGAGTAGTGTGTACTCTTAGAAAAAAGGTTTCTTCAGCTGTCCCCATAGGATAACCCTTTCTGTTTCCAGGTAGAACCTTTTTCACAGAACCGAAAAGGGTTCTTCAAAGGGTTCTCCAATGGGGACAGCTGAATAACCCGTTTAGGTTTTAGATAGCACCTTTTTTTCTAAGAGTGTATGTGTGTGTTTGTTGTGTGTGTTTTTCATGGAGCACCACTGTGCCTCATCGTGCCCTGTTAGCCAGCCATGGAGCACCACTGTGCCTCATCGTGCCCTATTAGCCAGCCATGGAGCACCACTGTGCCTCATCGTGCCCTGTTAGCCAGCCATGGAGCACCACTGTGCCTCATCGTGCCCTGTTAGCCAGCCATGGAGCACCACTGTGCCTCATCGTGCCCTATTAGCCAGCCATGGAGCACCACTGTGCCTCATCGTGCCCTGTTAGCCAGCCATGGAGCACCACTGTGCCTCATCGTGCCCTATTAGCCAGCCATGGAGCACCACTGTGCCTCATCGTGCCCTGTTAGCCAGCCATGGAGCACCACTGTGCCTCATCGTGCCCTGTTAGCCAGCCATGGAGCACCACTGTGCCTCATCGTGCCCTATTAGCCAGCCATGGAGCACCACTGTGCCTCATCGTGCCCTGTTAGCCAGCCATGGAGCACCACTGTGCCTCATCGTGCCCTGTTAGCCAGCCATGGAGCACCACTGTGCCTCATCGTGCCCTATTAGCCAGCCATGGAGCACCACTGTGCCTCATCGTGCCCTGTTAGCCAGCCATGGAGCACCACTGTGCCTCATCGTGCCCTGTTAGCCAGCCATGGAGCACCACTGTGCCTCATCGTGCCCTGTTAGCCAGCCATGGAGCACCACTGTGCCTCATCGTGCCCTGTTAGCCAGCCATGGAGCACCACTGTGCCTCCTGAAAACACCTCTTTCCACAGAGCTGTGTGTGGTGGGGGGGGGTGCTTGCATCAAATCAAATCAGTGCAGTAGTATCTAACAATTCACAACAATACACACAAATCTAAAAGTAAAATAATGGAATTAAGAAATATATAAATATTAGGACGAGCAATGTCGGAGTGGCATTGACTAGAATACAGTAGAAAAGAATACAGTATATGCATATGAGATGAGTAAAGCAGTATGTAAAAATTATTAAAGTGACTAGTGTTCCATTATTAAAGTGGCCAGTGATTCCATGTCTATGTATATAGGGCAGCAGCCTCTAAGGTGTAGGGTTGAATAACCGGGTGTTAGCTGGCTAGTGACAGTGACTAAGTTCAAGGCAGGGTACTGGGTGGATGCCGGCTAGTGACAGTGACTAAGTTCAGGGCAGGGTACTGGGTGGATGCCGGCTAGTGACAGTGACTAAGTTCAGGGCAGGGTACTGGGTGGATGCCGGCTAGTGACAGTGACTAAGTTCAGGGCAGGGTACTGGGTGGAGGCCGGCTAGTGACAGTGACTAAGTTCAGGGCAGGGTACTGGGTGGAGGCCGGCTAGTGACAGTGACTAAGTTCAGGGCAGGGTACTGGGTGGAGGCCGGCTAGTGACAGTGACTAAGTTCAGGGCAGGGTACTGGGTGGTAGCCGGCTAGTGACAGTGACTAAGTTCAGGGCAGGGTACTGGGCGGAGGCCGGCTAGTGACAGTGACTAAGTTCAGGGCAGGGTACTGGGTGGTAGCCGGCTAGTGACAGTGACTAAGTTCAGGGCAGGGTACTGGGAGGAGGCCGGCTAGTGACAGTGACTAAGTTCAGGGCAGGGTACTGGGTGGAGGCCGGCTAGTGACAGTGACTAAGTTCAGGGCAGGGTACTGGGTGGATGCCGGCTAGTGACAGTGACTAAGTTCAGGGCAGGGTACTGGGTGGATGCCGGCTAGTGACAGTGACTAAGTTCAGGGCCTCACCCCCATAATCATCCCTCTGGCTAGCTTGGGTTTGTCCTCACCCACCGTAATCATCCCTCTGGCTAGCTTGGGTTTGTCCTCACCCCCAGTAATCATTCCTCTGGCTAGCTTGGGTTTGTCCTCACCCCCCATAATCATCCCTCTGGCTAGCTTGGGTTTGTACTCACCCCCATAATCATCCCTCTGGCTAGCTTGGGTTTGTACTCACCCCCAATAATCATCCCTCTGGCTAGCTTGGGTTTATCCTCACCCCCCATAATCATCCCTCTGGCTAGCTTGGGTTTGTACTCACCCCCCATAATCATCCCTCTTGCTAGCTTGGGTTTGTACTCACCCCCCATAATCATCCCTCTTGCTAGCTTGGGTTTGTACTCACCCCCAATAATCATCCCTCTGGCTAGCTTGGGTTTGTACTCACCCCCAATAATCATCCCTTTGGCTAGCTTGTGTTTGTACTCACCCCCCATAGTCATCCCTCTGGCTAGCTTGGGTTTGTCCTCACCCCCAATAATCATCCCTCTGGCTAGCTTGGGTTTGTACTCACTCCCCATAATCATCCCTCTGGCTAGCTTGGGTTTTTACTCACCCCCCATAGTCATCCCTCTGGCTAGCTTGGGTTTGTACTCACCCCCAATAATCATCCCTCTGGGTAGCTTGGGTTTGTCCTCACCCCCAGTAATCATCCCTCTGGCTAGCTTGGGTTTGTACTCACCCCCCATAATCATCCCTCTGGCTAGCTTGGGTTTGTACTCACCCCCCATAATCATCCCTCTTGCTAGCTTGGGTTTGTACTCACCCCCAATAATCATCCCTCTGGCTAGCTTGGGTTTGTCCTCACCCCCCATAGTCATTCCTCTGGCTAGCTTGGGTTTGTCCTCACCCCCAGTAATCATCCCTCTGGCTAGCTTGGGTTTGTCCTCACCCCCCATAGTCATTCCTCTGGCTAGCTTGGGTTTGTCCTCACCCCCATAATCATCCCTCTGGCTAGCTTGGGTTTGTCCTCACCCCCAGTAATCATCCCTCTGGCTAGCTTGGGTTAGTCCTCACCCCCCATAGTCATTCCTCTGGCTAGCTTGGGTTTGTCCTCACCCCCATAATCATCCCTCTGACTAGCTTGGGTTTATCCTCACCCCCAATAATCATCCCTCTGGCTAGCTTGGGTTTGTACTCACCCCCAATAATCATCCCTCTGGCTAGCTTGGGTTTGTCCTCACCCCCCGTAATCATCCCTCTGGCTAGCTTGGGTTTGTCCTCACCCCCCCTAGTCATTCCTCTGGCTAGCTTGGGTTTGTCCTCACCCCCATAATCATCCCTCTGGCTAGCTTGGGTTTGTCCTCACCCCCAGTAATCATCCCTCTGGCTAGCTTGGGTTTGTCCTCACCCCCCATAGTCATTCCTCTGGCTAGCTTGGGTTTGTCCTCACCCCCATAATCATCCCTCTGGCTAGCTTGGGTTTGTCCTCACCCCCCATAGTCATTCCTCTGGCTAGCTTGGGTTTGTCCTCACCCCCATAATCATCCCTCTGGCTAGCTTGGGTTTGTCCTCACCCCCATAATCATCCCTCTGGCTAGCTTGGGTTTGTCCTCACCCCCAGTAATCATCCCTCTGGCTAGCTTGGGTTTGTCCTCACCCCCTGTAATCATCCCTCTGGCTAGCTTGGGTTTGTACTCACCCCCCATAATCATCCCTCTGGCTAGCTTGGGTTTGTCCTCACCCCCAATAATCATCCCTCTGTCTAGCTTATGTTTGTCCTCAGCCCCCATAGTCATCCCTCTGGCTAGCTTGTGTTTGTACTCACCCCCAGTAATCATCCCTCTGGCTAGCTTGGGTTTGTCCTCACCCCCATAATCATCCCTCTGGCTAGCTTGGGTTTGTCCTCACCCCCAGTAATCATCCCTCTGGCTAGCTTGGGTTTGTACTCACCCCCCATAATCATCCCTCTGGCTAGCTTGGGTTTGTACTCACCCCCCATAATCATCCCTCTGGCTAGCTTGGGTTTGTCCTCACCCCCAGTAATCATCCCTCTGGCTAGCTTGGGTTTGTCCTCACCCCCCATAGTCATTCCTCTGGCTAGCTTGGGTTTGTCCTCACCCCCATAATCATCCCTCTGGCTAGCTTGGGTTTGTCCTCACCCCCCATAGTCATTCCTCTGGCTAGCTTGGGTTTGTCCTCACCCCCATAATCATCCCTCTGGCTAGCTTGGGTTTGTCCTCACCCCCATAATCATCCCTCTGGCTAGCTTGGGTTTGTCCTCACCCCCAGTAATCATCCCTCTGGCTAGCTTGGGTTTGTCCTCACCCCCTGTAATCATCCCTCTGGCTAGCTTGGGTTTGTACTCACCCCCCATAATCATCCCTCTGGCTAGCTTGGGTTTGTCCTCACCCCCAATAATCATCCCTCTGTCTAGCTTATGTTTGTCCTCAGCCCCCATAGTCATCCCTCTGGCTAGCTTGTGTTTGTACTCACCCCCAGTAATCATCCCTCTGGCTAGCTTGGGTTTGTCCTCACCCCCATAATCATCCCTCTGGCTAGCTTGGGTTTGTCCTCACCCCCAGTAATCATCCCTCTGGCTAGCTTGGGTTTGTACTCACCCCCCATAATCATCCCTCTGGCTAGCTTGGGTTTGTCCTCACCCCCAGTAATCATCCCTCTATTTAGCTTGGGTTTATCCTCACCCCCAATAATCATCCCTCTGGCTAGCTTGGGTTTGTCCTCACCCCCAATAATCATACCTCTGGCTCGCTTGGGTTTATCCTCACCCCCAATAATCATCCCTCTGGCTAGCTTGGGTTTGTACTCACCCCCAATAATCATCCCTCTGGCTAGCTTGGGTTTGTACTCACCCCCCATAATCATCCCTCTGGCTAGCTTGGGTTTGTACTCACCCCCCATAATCATCCCTCTTGCTAGCTTGGGTTTGTACTCACCCCCAATAATCATCCCTCTGGCTAGCTTGGGTTTGTCCTCACCCCCCATAGTCATTCCTCTGGCTAGCTTGGGTTTGTCCTCACCCCCAGTAATCATCCCTCTGGCTAGCTTGGGTTTGTCCTCACCCCCCATAGTCATTCCTCTGGCTAGCTTGGGTTTGTCCTCACCCCCATAATCATCCCTCTGGCTAGCTTGGGTTTGTCCTCACCCCCAGTAATCATCCCTCTGGCTAGCTTGGGTTAGTCCTCACCCCCCATAGTCATTCCTCTGGCTAGCCTGGGTTTGTCCTCACCCCCATAATCATCCCTCTGACTAGCTTGGGTTTATCCTCACCCCCAATAATCATCCCTCTGGCTAGCTTGGGTTTGTACTCACCCCCAATAATCATCCCTCTGGCTAGCTTGGGTTTGTCCTCACCCCCCGTAATCATCCCTCTGGCTAGCTTGGGTTTGTCCTCACCCCCCCTAGTCATTCCTCTGGCTAGCTTGGGTTTGTCCTCACCCCCATAATCATCCCTCTGGCTAGCTTGGGTTTGTCCTCACCCCCAGTAATCATCCCTCTGGCTAGCTTGGGTTTGTCCTCACCCCCCATAGTCATTCCTCTGGCTAGCTTGGGTTTGTCCTCACCCCCATAATCATCCCTCTGGCTAGCTTGGGTTTGTCCTCACCCCCCATAGTCATTCCTCTGGCTAGCTTGGGTTTGTCCTCACCCCCATAATCATCCCTCTGGCTAGCTTGGGTTTGTCCTCACCCCCATAATCATCCCTCTGGCTAGCTTGGGTTTGTCCTCACCCCCAGTAATCATCCCTCTGGCTAGCTTGGGTTTGTCCTCACCCCCTGTAATCATCCCTCTGGCTAGCTTGGGTTTGTACTCACCCCCCATAATCATCCCTCTGGCTAGCTTGGGTTTGTCCTCACCCCCAATAATCATCCCTCTGTCTAGCTTATGTTTGTCCTCAGCCCCCATAGTCATCCCTCTGGCTAGCTTGTGTTTGTACTCACCCCCAGTAATCATCCCTCTGGCTAGCTTGGGTTTGTCCTCACCCCCATAATCATCCCTCTGGCTAGCTTGGGTTTGTCCTCACCCCCAGTAATCATCCCTCTGGCTAGCTTGGGTTTGTACTCACCCCCCATAATCATCCCTCTGTCTAGCTTGGGTTTGTCCTCACCCCCAGTAATCATCCCTCTATTTAGCTTGGGTTTATCCTCACCCCCAATAATCATCCCTCTGGCTAGCTTGGGTTTGTACTCACCCCCAGTAATCATCCCTCTGGCTAGCTTGGGTTTGTACTCACCCCCCATAATCATCCCTCTGGCTAGCTTGGGTTTGTCCTCACCCCCAGTAATCATCCCTCTATTTAGCTTGGGTTTATCCTCACCCCCAATAATCATCCCTCTGGCTAGCTTGGGTTTGTCCTCACCCCCAATAATCATACCTCTGGCTCGCTTGGGTTTATCCTCACCCCCAATAATCATCCCTCTGGCTAGCTTGGGTTTGTACTCACCCCCAATAATCATCCCTCTGGCTAGCTTGGGTTTGTCCTCACCCCCCGTAATCATCCCTCTGGCTAGCTTGGGTTTGTCCTCACCCCCCGTAATCATCCCTCTGGCTAGCTTGGGTTTGTCCTCACCCCCCATAATCATCCCTCTGGCTAGCTTGGGTTTGTCCTCACCCCCCATAATCATCCCTCTGGCTAGCTTGGGTTTGTCCTCACCCCCCATAGTCATTCCTCTGGCTAGCTTGGGTTTGTCCTCACCCCCAGTAATCATCCCTCTGGCTAGCTTGGGTTTGTCCTCACCCCCCGTAATCATCCCTCTGGCTAGCTTGGGTTTATCCCCACCCCCCGTAATCATCCCTCTGGCTAGCTTGGGTTTGTCCTCACCCCCAGTAATCATTTCTCTGGCTAGCTTGGGTTTGTACTCTCCCCCCATAATCATCCCTCTGGCTAGCTTGGGTTTGTACTCACCCCCCATAATCATCCCTCTGGCTAGCTTGGGTTTATCCTCACCCCCCGTAATCATCCCTCTGGCTAGCTTGGGTTTGTCCTCACCCCCATAATCATCCCTCTGTCTAGCTTGGGTTTGTCCTCACCCCCAGTAATCATCCCTCTGGCTAGCTTGGGTTTGTCCTCACCCCCATAATCATCCCTCTGTCTAGCTTGGGTTTGTCCTCACCCCCAGTAATCATTCCTCTGGCTAGCTTGGGTTTGACAGTGTGTTATTTAGCTGCTATTTACTTCATAATTATCTCCATGATAAACTCCAATGGACAGCCTAAATGACTTCTAAATGACCTGATCAAGTTTTAAATGCTCAATGATTAGCCACTACCTTCGATATCTTTGGTTTAATGAAACAACTATTCAAGTAAACAGTTGGACCAAGGACATACCATCTAAAATACAATATACCTGTACTGACATTGTTTTTATTGCGGTGTTTCAACCAATATGATACCTGTACTGTGTATCAGCCAATTAGAGACCTGTACTGTGTATCAGCCAATAACAGACATATTGTGTTTCAGCCAATAAGAGGTGTCAGCTGTACTGTGTTTCAGCCAATAAGAGGTGTCAGCTGTACTGCGTTTCAGCCAATAAGAGGTGTCAGCTGTACTGCGTTTCAGCCAATAAGAGGTGTCAGCTGTACTGTGTTTCAGCCAATAAGAGGTGTCAGCTGTACTGTGTTTCAGCCAATAAGAGTTGTCAGCTGTACTGTGTTTCAGCCAATAAGGGTTGTCAGCTGTACTGTGTTTCAGCCAATAAGAGGTGTCAGCTGTACTGTGTTTCAGCCAATAAGAGGTGTCAGCTGTACTGTGTTTCAGCCAATAAGAGGTGTCAGCTGTACTGTGTTTCAGCCAATAAGAGGTGTCAGCTGTACTGTGTTTCAGCCAATAAGAGGTGTCAGCTGTACTGTGTTTCAGCCAATAAGAGGTGTCAGCTGTACTGTGTTTCAGCCAATAAGAGGTGTCAGCTGTACTGTGTTTCAGCCAATAAGAGGTGTCAGCTATACTGTGTTTCAGCCAATACGTTTTTTTATTTTTTTGTTTCACCTTTATTTAACCAGGTAAGCCAGTTGAGAACAAGTTCTCATTTACAACTGCGACCTGGCCAAGATAAAGCAAAGCAGTGCGGTAAAAAACAACAACACAGAGTTACATATGGGGTAAAGAAAACATAAAGTCAAAAATACAACAGAAAATATATATACAGTGTGTGCAAATGTAGCAAGTTATGGAGGTAAGGCAATAAATAGGCCATAGTGCAAAATAATTACTATTTAGTATTAACACTGGAATGATAGATGTGCAAGAGATGAAGTGCAAATAGAGATACTGGGGTGCAAATGAGCAAAATAAATAACAATATGGGGATGAGGTAGTTGGGTGGGCTAATTTCAGATGGGCTGTGTACAGGTGCAGTGATCGGTAAGGTGCTCTGACAACTGATGCTTAAAGTTAGTGAGGGAGATAAGAGTCTCCAGCTTCAGAGATTTTTGCAATTCGTTCCAGTCATTGGCAGCAGAGAACTGGAAGGAATGGCGGCCAAAGGAGGTGTTGGCTTTGGGAATGACCAGTGAGATATACCTGCTGGAGCGCATACTACGGATGGGTGTTGCTATGGTAACCAATGAGCTAAGATAAGGCGGGAATTTGCCTATCAGTGATTTATAGATGGCCTGGAGCCAGTGGGTTTGGCAACGAATATGTAGTGAGGACCAGCCAACAAGAGTGTACAGGTCACAGTGGTGGGTAGTATATGGGGCTTTGGTGACAAAATGGATGGCACTGTGATAGACTACATCCAATTTGCTGAGTAGAGTGTTGGGGGCTATTTTGTAATTGACATCGCCGAAGTCAATAAGAGGTGTCAGCTGTACTGTGTTTCAGCCAATAAGAGGTGCCACCTGTACTGTGTTTCAGCCAATAAGAGGTGCCACCTGTACTGCCAGTCGAAGGAGACCGCTGACGTGGCGTACATGAAGCAGCTGGTGCATGATGGGACACGCTGCTCCTACAAAGACCCCTACAGCATCTGTGTCAGAGGAGAGTGTGTGGTGAGTAACCTAACGTTACCTAACCTAACGTTACCTAACCTAACCCTAACGTTACCTAACCTAAACCAACCTAACGTTACCTAACCCAACGTAACCTAACGTTACCTAATCTTAACATAACCTAACCCAACTGTGTCAGGGGAGAATGTTAGGTGAGTAACCTAACCTTAACCTAACCCAACCTTAACCCTACAGCATCTGTCAGGGGAGAGTGTGTTTTGAGAAACAAACATAATGTTAGCATTGACAGTGAATGTTCTAAAATATTAAATCTCAAAAAGGTTATGGGTAAAAAGTAGCAGACTTTCAGATATTAATGTTGGAGATAAAATTATATATTTGAAGTGAAAGAACCAGCTTAATGTCTCTCCTTCAGAATTAGTCTGTCTCTGCACTGAATGTCATGTTTTGCAACTAGCTAATGGTCAAGGGTTTAAACTACAGCTTTAGCCTTGTTACAAATATCACTCCTGATTCCCAAAAACAGACTTGACGAGTCTTGCTTTTCTGTGTGGTTCTGTCTTCCAGAAAGTGGGCTGCGACAAAGAGATTGGTTCCAACAAGGTCGACGATAAGTGTGGAGTGTGTGGTGGGGACAATTCTCACTGTCGCACCGTCAAGGGAACCTTCACACGCACCCCCAAGAAAGCTGGTATGGGACACATAACACTGCAACACACAGCCACAGATCATCCAGTCCATCACCTAGCAACAGTCCTCTCACTGTGTCCATCACTTAGCAACAGTCCTCTCACTGTGTCCATCACCTAGCAACAGTCCTCTCACTGTGTCCATCACCGAGCAACAGTCCTCTCACTGTGTCCATCACCTAGCAACAGTCCTCTCACTGTGTCCATCACCTAGCAACAGTCCTCTCACTGTGTCCATCACCTAGCAACAGTCCTCTCACTGTGTCCATCACTTAGCAAGAGTCCTCTCACTGTGTCCATCACCTAGCAATAGTCCTCTCACTGTGTCCATCACCTAGCAACAGTCCTCTCACTGTGTCCATCACCTAGCAACAGTCCTCTCACTGTGTCCATCACCTAGCAACAGTCCTCTCACTGTGTCCATCACCTAGCAACAGTCCTCTCACTGTGTCCATCACTTAGCAAGAGTCCTCTCACTGTGTCCATCACCTAGCAACAGTCCTCTCACTGTGTCCATCAACTAGCAACAGTCCTCTCACTGTGTCCATCACTTAGCAACAGTCCTCTCACTGTGTCAAGCACTTAGCAACAGTCCTCTCACTGTGTCCAGCACTTAGCAACAGTCCTCTCACTGTGTCCAGCACTTAGCAACAGTCCTCTCACTGTGTCCATCACTTAGCAACAGTCCTCTCACTGTGTCAAGCACTTAGCAACAGTCCTCTCACTGTGTCAAGCACTTAGCAACAGTCCTCTCACTGTGTCCATCACTTAGCAACAGTCCTCTCACTGTGTCAAGCACTTAGCAACAGTCCTCTCACTGTGTCAAGCACTTAGCAACAGTCCTCTCACTGTGTCCAGCACTTAGCAACAGTCCTCTCACTGTGTCAAGCACTTAGCAACAGTCCTCTCACTGTGTCAAGCACTTAGCAACAGTCCTCTCACTGTGTCAAGCACTTAGCAACAGTCCTCTCACTGTGTCCATCACTTAGCAACAGTCCTCTCACTGTGTCAAGCACTTAGCAACAGTCCTCTCACTGTGTCAAGCACTTAGCAACAGTCCTCTCACTGTGTCCAGCACTTAGCAACAGTCCTCTCACTGTGTCAAGCACTTAGCAACAGTCCTCTCACTGTGTCAAGCACTTAGCAACAGTCCTCTCACTGTGTCCAGCACTTAGCAACAGTCCTCTCACTGTGTCCAGCACTTAGCAACAGTCCTCTCACTGTGTCCAGCACTTAGCAACAGTCCTCTCACTGTGTCAAGCACTTAGCAACAGTCCTCTCACTGTGTCAAGCACTTAGCAACAGTCCTCTCACTGTGTCAAGCACTTAGCAACAGTCCTCTCACTGTGTCCAGCACTCCGTCCACATGTGTTTTTGCAGACTGTTTCATATCAAATCCAAATCACATGCACCGAATACAACGCTTACTTGCTTACTTAAGAGCCCTTTCCCAACAACGTAGAGTTTTTTAAAAGTAAGTAAGGAAAATTTGCTAAATAACATAACAATAACAAGGCTATATACAGGAGGGTCCCGGTACCGAGTCAATGTGCAGGTGTACTGGGTAGTCGAGGTAATTGAGGTAATATGTACATGTAGGTAGAGTTAAAGTGACTAGTCAATCAGGATAGATAATAAACAGAGTAGCAGCAGTGTTGGTAGTTGAGGTAATATGTACATGTAGGTAGGGGTAAATTGACTAGTCAATCAGAATAGATAATAAACAGAGAGTAGCAGCAGTGTATGTGAAGAGTGTGTAGGAATGTGAATGTATCTGTGTGTTTGGTGTCAATATCTGTGTGTGTGTGTGTGTGTGTGTGTGTCTGTGTGTGTGTGTGTTGGAGTGTCAGTGCAGTGTGTGTGTGTTGGAGTGTCAGTGCAGTGTCTGTGTGTGTGTGTTGGAGTGTCAGTGCAGTATGTGTGTGTGTGTGTGTGTGTCTGTGTGTGTGTGTTGGAGTGTCAGTGCAGTGTGTCTGTGTGTGTGTGTTGGAGTGTCAGTGCAGTGTCTGTGTGTGTGTGTGTGTGTGTGTGTGTGTCTGTGTGTGTGTGTTGGAGTATCAGTGCAGTATGTGTGTGTGTGTGTGTGTCTGTGTGTGTGTGTGTTGGAGTGTCAGTGCAGTGTGTGTGTGTGTGTGGTTAGAGTCCAGTGAGTGTACATTGAGCCTGGCAGGAGAGTCAGTGCAGAAAATTATAAATACAAATAAAATAAGGGGGTCAATGCTAATAGTCCACGTAGCCATTTGATTACCTGTTCAGCAGTCTTATGGCTTGGGGTAGAAGCTGATAGCTGGTACCACTTGCTGTGCGGTAGCAGAGAGAACAGACTATGACTTGCTGTAGTCTTTGACAATGTTTAGGGCCTTCCTCTGACACCGCCTGGTATAGAGGTCCTGGATGGCAGGAAGCTTGGCCCCAGTGATGTACTGGGCCATACGCACTACCCTCTGTAGCACCTTGCGTTCGGATGCCAAGCAGTTGCCATACCAAGCGGTGATGCAACCAGTCAGGATGCTCTCGATGGTGCAACTGTAGAACGTTTTGAGAGTCTGAGGACTCAAGCCAAATCTTTTCAGCCTCCTGGGGGGGAATAGGCATTGGTCGTGCCCTCCTCACGACTATGTTGGTGTGTTTAGACAATGATAGGTCCTTATTGATGTGGACACCAAGGAACTTGAAACTCTCGACCCGCTCCACTACAGCCCTGTTATTGTGGATGGGGACATGCTCGGCCCTCCTTTTCCTGTAGTCCACGATCAGATCCTTTGTCTTGCTCACGTTGAGGGAGAGGTTGTTGTCCTGGCACCATACTGCCAGGTCTCTGACCTCCTCCCTATAGGCTGTCTCATCATTGTCGGAGATCAGGCCTATCACAGTTTTGTCGTTGGCAAACTTAATGATGGTGTTGGAGTCGTGAGGGGCCCCCGTGTTGAGGATCAGCGTGGCGGATGTGTTGTTTCTTTCCCTCACCACCTGGGGGTGGCCCATCAGGAAGCCTAGGATCCAGTTGCAGAGGGAGGTGTTTAGTCCCAGGATCCTTAGCTTACTGATGAACTTGGAGGACACTATGGTGTTGAACGCTGATCTGTAGTCAATGAACAGCATTCTCTCATAGGTTTTCCTTTTGTCCAGGTGGGAAAGGGCAGTGTGGAGTGCAATAGAGATTGCTTCATCTGTGTGTCCAGGGTGGGTCCAGGGTGGGTCCAGGGTTTCTGGGATGATGGTGTTGATGTGAGCCATGACCAGCCTTTAAAAGCATTTCATGGCTACCGACGTGAGTGCTACGGGTCGGTAGTCATTTAGGCAGGTCACCTTGGCGATCTAGGGCACAGTGACTATGGTGGTCTTCTTGAAACATGTAGGTATTACATAATGGGTCAGGGAGCGGTTGAAAATGTCAGCGAAGACACTTGCCAGCTGGTCAGCGCGTGCTCTAAGTACACATCCTGGTAATCCGTCTGGCCCTGCAGCCTTGTGAATGTTAACCTGTTCAAAGGTCTTACTCACATAGGCTACGGTGAGTCGTCCGGAACAGCTGGTGCTCTCATGCTTGGTTCAGTGTTGCTTGCCTCGAAGCGAGCATAGAAGGCATTTATCTTGTCTGGTAGGCTCGCGTCACTGGGCAGCTCGTGGCTGGGTTTCCCTTTGTAATTTGTGATAGTTTGCAAGCCCTGCCACATCCGACGAGCATCAGAGACAGTTTAGTTGGATTCGATCTTAGTTTTGTATTGTCTGTTTGATGGTTCGTCGTAAGGTGTAGCGGGATTTCTTATAAGCGTCTGGATTAGTGTCCCGCTCCTTGAAAGCGGCAGCTCTAGCCTTTAGGTCAGTGCGGCTGTTGCCTGTAATCCATGGCTTGTAGTTGGGATATGTAAACCCTCAAGACTTATTTAATATTAGAGATCGCACACCAGTTTTTGTTAATAAAGAGACACAGGCCCCCACCACCCCCCCACCCAATCTTATCGGAGCCAGCTGTTGTTAATAAAGAGACACAGGCCCCCGCCACCCCCCCACCCGATCTTATCGGAGCCAGCTGTTGTTAATAAAGAGACACAGGCCCCCCCCACCTCCCCACCCGATCTTATCGGAGCCTGCTGTTCTGTCCTGCCGATGCACGGAAAACCCAGCTAACTGTATATTATCCATGTCCTTGTTCAGCCATGACTCAGAGAAACATAGGATATTACAATTCTTCAGGTCCCGTTGGTAGGATATTTTTATTTATTTATTTAACCTTTATTTAACCAGGTAAGCCAGTTGAGAACAAGTTCTCATTTACAACTGCGACCTGGCCAAGGATAGTCTCGAATGGAGCTCATCCAGTTTACTCTCCAGTGATTGCACATTCACCAGTAGAACTAAGGGTAGAGGCGGATTATCCACTCACCGACATAGTCTCACCAGACATCCGGCTGACAGTCTCACCAGGCATCCGGCTCGCCGACCCCTGTAGTGGCATCTCCTCTTTTTCTAAATGACAGGGATTTGGGCCTGGTCCGGGAAGAACAGTATATCCTTCGCGTCAGACTCATTAAATAAAAAATCATTGTCCAAATCAAGGTGAGTAGAAACTGTTCTGGTGTCCAGAAGCTCTTTTGGGTCATTATGTACAGTATAAGTTAGACACTATTCGTCAGGAGCCGGAAAACGGTGGCCATCCCCTCTGGTGCCATTCTCATAGCACCCAATACATTACATTACAACACAATACAAGACAACACAATTGTTATGTTCCCAGCAAGAAACCAAAAAAGTTGCTCAAACAGAAGGGTTAACTAACAAAGAGTCACTACCAGGGTTAACTAACAGAGTCACTACCAGGGTTAACTAACAGAGTCACTACCAGGGTTAACTAACAGAGTCACTGACCAACAACCAAAACGAAACAGATGGTTCTAGGAGGGGTTCTGAAAGACACTCATGGGGGGGTCCAGTGACAGTTTGTAGCGATATTGTCATGGGGGGGTCCAGTGACAGTTTGTAGCGATATTGTCATGG